ATACACTTTGTTTGACAGTAGTGTGGAGACACTAAGGGAGAGAGAGAGGAAGAGGGAGAGAGAAAGAAAGAGCGAGGAAGTTCAATTCTAGCATAATTGTATATACAAAACTAACCTCTTTAAATCTTTTTTGTAAATTGATTCGTAACAAATTGGACACTTTCTCCATTTCTTCTCACTCTACAAAAATATAAAAAAACAAATAGATTATAAAATTAAAAAAAACAGCTAGATTATAATTATTACCAGTGATAGATAATGGAGTATGCAAGGGAAGCAATAGACGTGTCCACAGCGAGTCATCTTAGCTAAAGGAGAAGAGAGAAGAAATAAAATGAAGAAGACATTATGTATTAAGACTTACCGGCAGTAGGAGGATGAAGACAGATAGGACATGATGGTATATCAGAACAAAAGAGCCTCTACAATACATAATAAGGAGATATAGCAATCATACAGTAATCAATGATAATAATAATAATACAGTAATGTAGTAATGTATGTGCATATTACAAATGTACACTAAAATCAATATGTACATGTATGAACAGGTGTACATGTATATACATGTAGGTATGGCATTAATAGTGCTGTCATTCTTACCACTTGTTCAATGGTGTCCCATTCAACAAGTAGATCAGGATCATAAGTATACTGACTGTAGTCAACTGTGTCCTCTCTAACTATGAACTGGCAGCTAGAGAGAGAGAGAGAGAGAGAGAGAGAGAGAGAGGGGCAGAGAAATCAGAATACATAAAAAAGAGCAACAAAAGTCTTCTCTTACTTCGCTTGCAAGAATTGTTCTTTATTATAATGAGATGGTCTCCTGTGCCTCCCTCGGCCGTGAGTATCTACAGAATAGTCCCCACCCCCAGCCACACCCCTTTCTCTCGGTGTTAGTGTGAAATTCAATAAATGATTAAGCGAAATGGGGCTAGACTTTTTCTTGTCGCCACCCAGTGAAATCTGTTCATGAGAAAAAAGAATGCATGCTCACAACATGTGAAGAATTATAATTAAATATTCATAGCTACCACACCCATTTGTGCTACATAATGATATTCACGAGTATGCATTCTTAACAATTAAACGTATTTAAAGTTGTCCCAGGCATCACTTAATCATATTCACAAGTCTATTGAGTAGTAAACAATTAGAGCATCTTAATTTCACACGATCAGTTGATCCGTTAACAGTGTTAGGGTGTCAAATACAGTCACACACACCTCTCTCTTATTAATGTTATACTTGCTTATTTTCAAAACAAAGAAGGCAATTCCTATTCATCAATTACATAAAACGACAATTGTACATGCATTATACAAGGCTCAAAAAAGTTTCATGTAAAGCCGTAAAATTTTAGTTCTTCAAATGCTTAAAATAATAAGTACTACATCAGTCTACATGCACTGATGTATCATAGAATCTTTTTTAATCTTTACCTCTTTCTCTAATCCGGTAACATCGTCACCATAATCCCTTGACAGCTGTGGTCTTCTCTGATTAGACGGTCTACAATCCCCTCCTCCTCCACTACCACCTGTCCTGTTGGCATGCTTGTTCTTCTGTCTGCTCCCTTTATGCAAGGGGCCATTGTTGACTGAGAATGAAGAAAGAGGAGGGTGACCCCTGTCATCCCATACCCTAGCCTTAGCTCCTACAAATTAATGCCCAATGTAATATTAATAATCATTATTATTTATTATTGATTTTTATTTCTACTGTACGTTAATTTAAAACTACATATACATGTAGAAATATATCTATGTAATTACATGTACATGTACATGTACACTCATTGTGTTACAGCATAAAATCAAACTAGCATTAGTCTCTTGTAATCTTGTGCTTAGTAGACCCAACAAAAA